CCAAAAATTGCTTTGGTGAGCTGTTTCAAACTGCTGAAATGCTGAATCTCTAAATGAACTTAGTTCGATTTAGTTCGAAATGACATAATTTCAGTTCCTGATCCTATTTAATTTTAAACAAACTACCTAAAAGAACCTGTGTAAACGAGATGTTTTTGCTCACACACAAATACGAGCATATTTGACTAGCTATAACAAATTATATGTGGTGTATTCTGAGCTTTAATTACAGACACATTCTGAAGACACCAGAGATTTATTTGAAATCTTATAAAAAAAAGCATAACAAGTTGAGCCAGACAGCTCAACTAACAAAAAGGTTTTTGGTCTTTTGGTTTGACTGTAATTATCTATAATAATCCAAAACACTTACATTTTGCCAAAACTACTCCTACTATTGATATTCTGTAATAGTTTCCGATTCTAATTTAAACTAAATAACAAAAGATATATATTTATACAACAGTTCTGTCTGGTTCTTGAATCTTATTGGCTGATGGCCATGAAATATTCTGCAATATCAGAACTCCTAAAGCCTGTTCACTCTTGTGTATAACTCCGCCCACAAATAGTGACAGCAGATCAATAAACTCACTACAGTTTGAAAAATATTGCTGCTGTTGGACAACATACTGTACTTTTGAAATTTTTTAAGCGAGAATGTAGTTGTTGAATGTAGACTGATTGTTATTTTTATAAATATTGATCAGTATTTCATTGAGCAGAGCAAAGACGGTTGGCTTTGTCCATCCACAAGACAGTGACAGAGGTTGCATAATAGGAGAAAAACCCAACGTAATTTCTAAATACAACTGATCAGATCATTATAAAACTGGTAAGTGAAATTCTAAGTCGATCTCTCTCTTTTGTATGTCATAGTGCTGTATTTATATCCATAACTGTAGTGTATTGAGTGTGAGACAGGACTCACATATTAGGAATGGATGTCATTTGTGTTGCCTCTCTTTGTATAATCCTGAGTTTTTGGTTTGTTTTCTAATTAGTCTCCTGTTTACGTTACTGCAGACTAGTTCAGTAAAAAGAAAGCGAGAAGAAATGCCCGCATGTCTTTAGCGTTTTTTTCCCTGTTTTGTTATCACTTTAGACATTCACAAATAAATGGAAAGCAATTGACAAGAAAACAAGCATATTCACAAAATAACTGAGATCCACAAATAGATTTCACAAACATGAATGAAATTCACAATTTTATAAAAATCAACTTGCAAACAAAAAACTTATTCGCAAATATGTTTTAATCTACAAACACAGCTTTGCCTGGTATTTTTATGTGTGAATTACATCCAGTGCATATATAGCGCTGCATGCATTGCAGTTAGTATGATGTGCATTTGTAAATTGTGCATTAAGTGTATTGCGATATGACCTTATTCAGTTCAACTGTGCAGCTCAGTGATTGAGAAGCATCTTCACAGCTTTAAGAGAAGCATGCTTGTGCATTGTGTTTTTTTTCCCTTAATGGGTGTTCTTGTCCTACGGGTGGCTTTCTTAACTTGTGTTCATGCTTTGCAGGCAGCTTCAAATGCCATTGTGATGTATTTAACAATTTCCTGGAGAGTTGTTTGGCTTACCTTTTTTCAAGCCACAGATTAAATCTACATTTGTCATTGGAGATATGTGCAGTACAGTTAGTATCTAGTTCATGTAAGCTTTATTTAGGCTGTAGGAAATTCATGGCTGTCTTTTTATTTATATAATAATTGTTGCTGTTATGTATGTATGTATATATATATGTGTGTGTGTGTGTGTGTGTGTGTGTATATATATATATATATATATATACATATACATATTCAGTGATTTTAATGATGAATTTTCATTTTTTACATCTAATAAATGCTGCTTAATGAACAGATGTTAATGTTCTTTAAAAAAAATTAAAAAAAATAGTGTGTAAATACTTTTTAATCTTCATAAAAACAATTTTAAGGTCAATGTTATTAGCTCCCTTAAACAATATAGTTTTATATTTTTGATTGTCTAAAGAACAAACCATGATTATGAAATGATTTTCCTAATAACCTTAACTTTCCTAGTAAACCTAATAAACCCAGTTAAAACTTTCAAAGTTATCAAGTTTAATAAAAATTAAACAGCCTTCCTTTGGCTTAATCCCTACCGTTTTAGATTTGTTTTAGATCTTGTCTTGACAAGAGACCAAAATAAAGCTTTAAAGGTCACAAAGTTTACCCTGTTTTCAAGATTTAATATTAATATTATGGTTCTTTTGAGTGTGCCAGTTAAGGGTTAGTTCAACACACAGTTCAGATTTTTTAATAATAATGTGTTAAAAAGTGTCATGTTGGGGTGTGTACACAGTTCGCTGTTTAAGGGGCGTGTTGCTTCACATGAAAATAAGTTTCGGCTTCCCGCCCAACGTAACAACAAGGGGGGCGGAGCCAAGAGCTCCCCCGTTCTGTGTTTGCAACAGACAAGCAGACAGAGAAAAGCAAGCGACATGAGTGAGAGAACATCATTCAGCCGGACATGTATGACTCGGACACAGACCAAGCAGAGAGTACAAAATCATTTGTGTCTTTGTATAGTTTTACCACCAACTGTGTGCTAGTTTCAAGTGCCGAGCTTGTACACCAAGACAAATAGGGGAAGTTCGTTATTTTATTTCCAATATAGAGATGCGCACGAGGCAACATGTTTGCACATTTCCAGCTGCACCTAGTTAAGATCACAGGGAGCTTCTGTGATCGCGAGAAGTGCAAACGGCTGAAGTTTAAGGTAGACGCAATGAAAAGTACACATGCTTGCAAACCTACCTAAAGGTACAAACAATAATTCCGATTAGAGCGATAATGTGGAGAATATTGATCTTGTGTTGAGCCCAATGAGCCTTACATCTAAAAATAGAACAAGGATGTTCCTTTAGTGATATCGCTTTGACTCACTCACTGAAAATGGCGGACGTGAAAAAACAACAAACTGAGTATGGTGATGCGCCTGTCAATCAATAATGGTGGGTGGGGGGACCGCACTCCTATGTCAAGTTGCGGTCGGTCTGAAATCCGCTCCAATTGGCCCAACGTTTTTATGTAGTTAAATTGGGAAAAAAAAAAGGAGTGGGTGTGTTTATATCAAACCAATATGACGGTCTATAAACTATACCTACACACATGTCTGTCCAAACAGCTTGAAAAGTAGATTTTTCACCATAGGTACCCTTTAAATAAAGCTTTATTTTTATGATTTGTGCCCTTGTTATTGTTTCAGATTGCACACCTAACATACAGTAGTATGCTAAGAATTGTCTGCAAATTTCTAGGAATTACCGCCACAAAATCAGTCATTTCTATCATGAAAAATCGCAAAAAATAAATAAATAAAATAAATAAAAAATATTGCAAAAAAACTAGGGGTCTGTATACTGAAACTTATTTAGTAAATTACTACGTACTGTCATCATGGCAAAGGAAAAACTAGGTGGTGTAGTCGAGTTTCCTTAACATCTTAAGGCTGAGGGTTAAACAAATTATATTACTTGTTTTAATTTAATTATTATAACAATATTCTATTTCTATTCTATTCTAGTCTATTTTAAAGTTTTTAATTAGCTATAATTAATGTTCTGTGCCTGTTCCCACACTGATTGTTAAGCAAAATGTGATTGGTTGCTATTGGTGGTTTGGCAAAATTTGGGCGGTTTTGAAACAGACATTTTATATGCAACTTATTTAACAAAACATAACTGTGTGCTCCTACTCCATTCCGTTAGTAGTGACTAGTGCATAGCGCAAACAGAGTGGGTCCACCCGCAAGAGGAGGTGAAGGAAAATTGTATCAAAACCTTCATCATGCAGCGGCTGCAGTTAAACTCACAGTGGTTTATCATGACACTTTTATTGATAATTTTTTTTCGCAATTGACAGTAAGAAAGAACAAACATAGAAGCATTGTCTGATTGACAAGCAGCAACTAATTATGTTCGAAAGAATTCAAAACGCCAAAATGGGATGAATTTATACCCCATTTTAAAAGTCTTAAAATCCAAAATAGGTTAAACAATTCACAAACTCATAATGTGCTATTTACAATTGCACAGAGAGCTATTCCAAAATGTATGCAGAAATGCACAGGACACGTAGTCTCAATTCTTATTCATGTTTGTAAAACAAAGATTTCCTCATTCTATTTATTGAGTGAATATACTTTGTTATTATCAGGCACTCTACATTTATTTGCAGATCATATTATATATATATCTATAAGATATATAGATATATATCTATATATCTTTCTTATAAAGAATATATATATTCTTTATAAGAAAATGCCTGTAACAAATCACAATGGTCTCTTTTGAACAAAAACAGAATACATTTTCTGCCTGGTAAGCATTTCTATTTTCATGAGGAAATGCAAATGTAGTTTTTAGTTATCTAGTTATTTATATCAGTAACTGGGCATATTAATGGTTCCCAAGAGAATTTGAATAAATACAGGGAGTGGTGAAACGATATCTAGAGAGGAGAACGGAGCAGAACAGATGGCTGTGAGAAAGAGGAGCAGGAGGATGGGCGAGCGACACCTCACTCTTCACACGGTCTGGTGACAGCTCCCCTCCTCCACCTCCTCTCTGGCGCAAAGTGAGCGGGGCAATTTTACTTGTGTACAAACCAGCCTGGGGCGGGTAATAAGCACAGCACAGAAGCACAGGTGAATAAATCTGTGTGATGAAGCACCACACACCACAAGGATGACAAGTACCTCCACTACTGCCACCAAATAGCATTTCAGTATCTATAGCTGCCACGGTGTGAGGTTCAAATAAAGATGTTCACTTTGGAATGTAATTTACCATAGACCTGAAAGCAGCAAGTATCATAGGAAACAGACTAAGCATTTCTAAAAATAAAATCAGGGTGACAAGATCTTGTTTAAAATAACATTCCTAAAAAAATCCTAAGTGTATATGAGAGGAATGACGGCATCTTAGAAAACAAAACACTCAGAACAGAACAACAGACCTTTATATTCAAGGTCGCTTCTACTTGCCAGGGTACCTGGGGTTTGGTGGAGGCTGGGGGAAGTGTTGGGGGATGCCCTTTGATTGCCGTGGTTACCAAAATAGGGGAGAGAGGGGAGGGAACTTCATTGAGAGGGACACTGTTGTAATTGGGTGGAGAAGTGTTTAGACCATCCTCAAATGCATTTAAGTCCTTCAGCAAGGAGTCTAATTCTGGTTCAGGGTCGCTGAGATCCCCTAGGAGAAAAAGATAATTAGAAATTATAGTTCGGACTAGGCAAACAACTGAAATGGCTTGAAAAACAGAAAGATACTCACTATGCAAACCACAAATTGAGACTAAAACATCCTTATTGCTACACATATGCCATATTGAGCCCAATGGACACCTCAGGGAATTCTTGTAAAATACATACATTTTTTTCCACGCATATCAAGCAGTTCGACAAAAGTCACTGACAAAAGGCACTGACAAAAGTCCAGAATTTGTCCCATACATGAGCTTATTTGTCCTATTTTAATTGCTGTGCCATCATAAATTTTGAAAATAACCAGTTGAAAAAGGTCTGTACTTTAATTTGTCAAAACAAGAAAATTGTAGCTGTAAACACTATTTTCTTTTTATGACAATTTTAATATTGTGAAAAGTATATTTATTGAAGAGGGAATTACATAAATGATCAAAATATATATTTGTAGGCTTTTAGTCCAAATAAAATATATATAAATATATACCTATTGCATTTCTGTTATAAAACCTTAAGCTCCATGTCTATTGTGTCTATTTATAAATATTACGTCTACTCCACCTTACATCTGTAAAAAAGTTTTTGTATGAATGGAAAATAACATAAAGAAAATAAATTGCTCTGTTATTATCATGAGGAACTGTGTTATTTTTTTAGATTTCTTTCCCTGATTTTGTTAGGATGGATTGTTGGTGTTAGTGTTTAATAATGGTCCATATTAAAGTTAATTTGAATACTAATTAGGCTATTGTTGTTATCTATTAATTTTCATTCATTCATTTTCTTTTTAGCTTAGTCCCTTTATTAATCTGGAGTTGCCACAGCGGAATGAACCGCCAACTTATCCAGCACATTTTAACACAGCAGATGCCCTTCCAGTCACAACCCATCAAGAACATGCAAACTCCACTCAGAAACGCCTACTGACCCAGCCGAGGCTCGAACCAGTGACCTTGCTGTGAGGCGACAGCACGACCTACTGTGCCACTGCATCGCTCATGAATTTTCAAATTGACTTTTATAGATAAGAGGTTAGGAAAATTATCACTATCGCTTTTTTATTATTTAAATGGCCATATTCAACAAAAAAGAAAGTTGTGCTTGCTATTTTGCTATTTGTGTAAAATAACAATAGGACACAGTTTTTTTTATTTAAAACTTTAACAGATTCCTATTTTTGCTAATGATATATGATGTAATAAATAATTTGTATTTTTAAAAAAATTCATACTTCTTTATTCTAAATTTAAAAAATATATAAATAGAAAAATAGAAAAAAAGGAGAACAACAAATGAGTGCACAAAGTGTGTTGATTAAACTGTTCTTTGACATCTATATAGTAGGTATGTGCCTTAGGTAGATTTAAAAAGTCCTGAAATGTTTTTATAATATTATCTAAAAGCCACTAAAATGAAAATTTCCATACTGATCATATTTGAAAGGGTCATGGATAGAATCATGGAAAGGTTTATTTTATTTTGAAAGAGTAAGTGAGATCTCTTTAAGCCGCCCAAGTAAATTATTTTTGACTGAGGTTTTACACTCAATGGCTACGCAGTGGAGCAGTAAGTAGTGCTGTTGCCTCACAGCAAGAAGGTCGCTGGTTCGAGCCTCGGCTGAGTAAGTTGGCGTTTCTGTGTGGAGTTTGCATGTTCTCCCTGCGTTCGTGTGGGTTTCCTCGGGGTGCTCCGGTTTCCCCCAAAGTCCAAAGACATGCAGTACAGGTGAATTGGGGAGGCTAAATTGTCCGTAGTATATGAGAGTGTTTGTGGATGTATCCCAGAGATGGGTTGTGGCTGGAAGGGCATCCGCTGCGTAAAAACGTGCTGGATAAGTTGGTGGTTCATTCCGCTGTGGTGACCCTGGATTAATACAGCGACTAAGCTAAAAATGAATGAATGAATGAATTTTACACTCATAGGATTAACATGAGAACAAGGGAACAGTGGTGTTAAGGCCCCTTTTACACTAATTCGCTTCAGTTTTAAAACGCTCTAATTTTTATACGGTTACGCCTTCCATCCAGACTACCGCAGAGTTTTCCAGCACCGAATAAATAGCATTTTGAAAAGGATGAAAGGACTGTTTTGGTTTTGAAACACTGTTGCTCCTTGTCAGTGTGGTTGGGGGAAAACGGAGACATCCGAAAACAGAGGCATGGCTGCAGACATTTGACTGGGGCTTTTTCCTTAATATTAAGTACACAAAGTTTCCTTGTAATTTCAAACTTCACAAGTTTGATATGGAAAACAAACACCTGAGAACATATCAGAAATATCTTCAAGGGAATAGTGTACTTTATAATGTCATTCGCATCCCCCTGTTGCGTAGTCTTAACAATTAAATTAAATCATAATATAAGTCATGATGTAATAACATGATGTAAAAAGTCATGCAGTTCTGGAGTAATATGAGGCTGAGCCAATGTTAACAGAACTGTCATTTTTTCTGTCAATAATATCTTTAACCTTTTTTGTAGAATGCAATATGTGACTAAATAAGTTAGTGTGATCAAGAAAATCTCTATTACCTTTACCTCGACCTTTGTCTTTTTTGCCTCCATGCTTTCTGTGCTCAGCCAGAAGCCTGTGACTATGTCGTCTGCCTTTACGATTTAACTCTCCTTCTGCTGGATGACTTCCTTGACGCATTTGAGCAGAAGCCCTGACCTCACCGTGAACTTCTGCCTTCATAGTGTCCCCAGGTCCCATCTCTAGCCTTACGGGGCTCAGACCCTCCATACTTGTCCCATCATCCTCCAGTCTGTCCATATGCCTTTGAGAAAACAGCCCAGCACTATCCCGTTCTTTGCCTGACCAGTGTCTCTTTTGTTGTCTGCCACCGGTAAGTCCTGTTTCAGGGTGTTCCTTGGAGGTAGTGGTGGAGGGGGTCAGACTCTGTTTGAAATTGTCAGATGAGATTTCAGAGCTGTGCAAAGTGTGAGACAGTGTTATAAGAAGTAGAATGAAGAGTTGACACAAGCCAGGAGCCACCATTTTCAAACACAGGGCCACCTGCAGATAAGAGCAAAATCTAGTCAGTTAAGAATATACACCCAGCTAGCAAAATCCATGTGGCTCAAAACTGGCCCACACCAGACACTTACATCCGACCCACATACGGCATGGATTGATGTCAGTTGGGCAGTCCCCTCCTGTTTGCCAGATCTGGGCCACAATTAAGCCATAGCAATAACACACACCAGCCAGAATTCAACTAATTGAACCAGAACTGACCCTATTCTGGGCCACAGTTTGCTTTTATTCTGGCCCAGATTCAGCCCACACCAGACACTTACATCTATACCACATACTGAATGGAATGATGGCTTTAGGCAGTTCGCTCCTGTTTGTCAGATCTGGGCCACAAATAAGCCATTGCAATACCAAGCATTAGCCAGAATTCAACTAAATAAACCAGAACTGGCCCTATTAAATGCTTTTCTCTATGATGGTGACTTTAGTCTATGTGGTCCACATATGTTTTAAGATAACTGGGCCACATTAGCCATATCTCCTCTGGGCCGCTTTAGGTTCACAGCCACATTAGCCAGAGCTAACTGTGCCAAATATTCGCCAGAAGTGTCCCACATATGTTTTAAGACAACTGGGCCACATTTGCCATATCTTCTCTGGGCGGCTATAGGCTAACGGCTGCATTAGCCAGAGTTTATTGTGCCAAATTTCTGCCAAAAGTGGCCCACATATGTTTTAAAATGACTGGGCCACATTTGCCATATTTTCTCTTGGCCTCATTAGGCTCACAGCCGCAATAGTCAGAGTTTACTATCCCAAATATTTGCCAAAAGTGACACATATATGTCTTAAGATAACTGGGCCACATTTGCACCTACATGTGTGAGCCAGTTTATGTTTAGACCTAGATTACCCTTAAATGACTATGCTACATTTTTGCCAACTGTGGCCCACATTTGTCTTATGTCATTTGGGCCAAATGTATAATTTTCTACATGGGCCACATAAGGCTCACATTCATTTTGTCTGGGCCGAAGGAATTCCATCAGTGCCACATAACTGCTTAAAGTGGCCCACATTCGTATGCTATCTGGGTATACTTTATATATGTTAATTAGACAGACCCCCTAGCAATTTTGTGATCGCTGAATCCAACACAAAATCAACAAAAAGCTGCACAGTTTTGTGATCCTGCAATTTTTTTTTATTTAAACCAAAATAATCGTAAAAAAATGTAAATAATATCATAAAACATCAAATTCCAAACCATATAATCAAATTATATTTATTTCAGTTTGCAATTAACTGTTTCACATGAGAGGTTATAGAGGTTGCATATGCAACGCACGTAATGTATTTGGTGTCTCTCGAAAAATGACATCTACCTGTGCCCACACTCCAAACATAACATGAAATGCTTGTGCAGTAAACAGACGTGGATGACGCAGGTGATTTATGTGTGAAGTTAGAGCAAAGATGGGATTAGACATCCTGTGGCACGAATGAGGCGTTTTGAGCATTTGACGCACTTCAGTCTGCAAAAGAAAGTTAGAGTAAACATCTAAAAAAAGGAGTAATGGAACAAACAGATGGTGATTGGTTCACGAATGACGGCCACTGACCGAATTGAAGGAAATTATTATCGCTTTACATGTATGGCTGGTATAATGATGTGCATCAAATCAATAAATTATGTTGTTTAACTCTCTCCTCTGCAGTTAACGAGACATAACGCTTCCTTGCCATTGACTAGTTTTATGGCAATCCATGTTTTAGGTGTATTATGGTAGGGGAAGCCCGAACGCATATTCTATGTGTGAGGTACATGATGTCAGATGCTGCGGGGAGTGAAATCTGAGAGAGAGAAAGTAAGATTGTGGATAAAAATAAGAGTTACACAACCTTCATTTGGCTTAATCCCTACCGCTCCCCTTCGGTTGGGGAACTTCAGTGCTATTAAGTGGATTTGATATTGAAAATCCACATATGGGAAGGATTCGGTTCAGAACCCGCTTGTCTGAAACAGTATTGAACGAGCCAATGAATGCAATGAATTGGCAGCGTAAGCTTGCACAGGTGTGCTTCATTGCCAATTATCCCAGCATATAAGCACACCTGGAGCGAGCAAACGCCATCCTTTTCGCTTCAGAGACTTTCTGATCGAGTCGATGGGGGTTTCTCCTGCTGTGATCCAGCAATTCCGAGCGAACAAGAGCATTCTCCTGGTCCAGAGTGTGTACATGCAGCGGCAGATAGTCGAGCTGGGTTTCTCCCTTGCCTAGCGTTCTTTGGGTCCCGTCCTCCAGAGCGGTGCGTATAAAGTTGCAAACTTCACAGAAGGAGCAACACAGTCGTGCAGCACGTCCTTTTTAGGACGGCGCTCCGACTGTGCGTTTCTGGATGTGGTGGTTTCCTGTCCTCGGATGACGGGCACGGGCACTGCGTTGCATGCCTGGGGGGTCCAGCATGTTAATACGCTGCTCGCGGGCAGTTCATGTCGTCATTGCGATGCTGTGACTGTTGCGCAGTAAAGATCGCGGCTAGCCTTTGCAAAAAAGCAAACCACCCCAGTTGTCCCCTGCTCTGCAGCGGGCACTCGGGCAGATCTGAGGGTTTTAGCGAGAAATAATCCGTCGCCCACGGGCCCGTGGACCTCCCGCTACTCTAAGCGCTCCATCCAAGCTTCGGGCGGGGGAAGCGATCCGTCTAACAGATGGTAGCCCTTACGCTCGATGACACCGGAGACCAGACGTCCACCGCGGCATCGGAGGGTGGGCTTTCATTGACCGATGATGATCCAGACCTGCTTGCCCCCTCCGGGCAGGTGAGCGGTGTCAAACGGATCCTGAAACGGACATGTTAGCAGTGCTTTCCCGGGCTGCTTCGGCCGTGGGTTGTAGATGGTCCAACCCAGGCTTACGAACTTCGCACCGCCGCCGACTTAGCTCTTTGGACTACTGAGTCCGCTGCGTGTGCATTGGGGAGGACGATGTCCACATTAGTGATCCAGGAGCGCCACCCCTGGGTGATATGCGCAAAGTCGACAAAGTCCGCTTTCTTGACTTCCCCATATCCCAAGCCATGTTCGGCGACACCGTCTGTGAATTCACCCAGGAATTCGAGGCTGTGAGAGAGCAGCTGATGGGTGTTGTCTTATCAGCGGTCCGTAGCCCGCTCCGCCCACCGTGCCATTCATACCTGCTCCTCGCCGAAGGCACCCGCCTACGAGAGCTGCACCGCCCCTGCACACGCCTCTGGCTAAGCGAGCGCGTCGAACACCTCGGAAGCAGGCAGCCCCCATGCCCAGAATGCCGCTAAGTCCAGCAACGGACCGCGAGGCGTCCCTGGGACAGGCCATCTGGAGAAGAGGAAACTTGCTCTTTCCCCGCTGGAGTGCGGGGACCCATTTCCAACGGCACTTTTTACTGCCATGAAAAAATCATGAAAGTACTTTTCCACTTCCCCGGATGTGACAGCCTGAAATCAGCCAGTCTGGGACGCTATGCTTTCTAGCTTGCAGATTCGGTGCGTTTCGCCAGTGGCTCACGAGCGCTGGGAGGAAGATCAGGAAGATGTGGCTCATACGCACAATCAGACTCGGCTATACAATTCAGTTCGCGAAACGGCCCCCCAAGTCACAGGTGTGTATTCACCAGGGTCAGCCCCCTGTCCACCCCTGTCTTGCGAGAGGAGATTGCTGTCCTCCTGGCGAAGGATGCAATCGAGCCGCTCCCTCCAGCCGAGATGGAGAGCGGGTTTTACAGCCCACACTTCATCATGCCCAAAAAGAGCGGTGGGTCACGGCCAATCCTAGATCTGCGCGTTTTGAACCGCTGTCTGCACAAGCTGCCGTTCAGAATGCTCACGCAGAAGCGCATCCTCCAGTGCGTTCGTCCTCTGGGTTGGTCTGCAGCATTAGACCTGATGAACGCGTATTTCCATGTCTCCACTCTTCCTCGTCACCGTCAGTTTCTGCGGTTTGCGTTTGAAGGTCGAGCTTAGCAATACAAAGCCCTCCCCTTCGGGCTCTCTCTGTCTCCGCGGGTCCTCACCAAGCCCGCGGAGGGTGCAATTTTCTTGGCTGATTTTTGCCCTCTCTCGGAGCAATTGATTATGCACAGAGACAAAGTGCTCCGGCACATCCACCTGTTGGGGTTTCAGGTCAACCGAGAAAAGAGCAAACTCGCAAACTCGCCTATTTAAATGGCGGACTTTGTAAGTGGCAAAACTAGTGAGAAAAGAGTTAAACAGACCATCTGCGCGAGGATAAAGCATGAGCCTCCTTCATTCGACCTCTTTACTTTTTCTTTATTTTACTTTTACTCTTTACACCTTTACTTTTGTGGATAAGGAAACGATGTTGTGCACACTTTGTTAAAGACATCCATTAGCCTACATATTTAATTTTGTTTGTTAAGAGTAAAGATTTGTTTCAAAACTATTTCTAAATTCAGATTTATTTGCAGCAACCAAATAAATGAACAATAATAATGTGTAATAATAAGTGTGGTCAAAAAACTTATAGTTATATAAGTTAGTTAAGTTATATCCAAACACATGTCCTAATCTTATACCCCATACAGTGATGCAGACAGTATGTCTCAAAAACCAAGACAAATCTAAACTTTATTAAAGCAAATATAAATATGCACATAATAAATAATATTACTAATAATAATCACATTATACAAATGCAAATTGTCATGGATAAACTAAAACTTTCTATGTAGAAAATAATATTTTTGTAACATTTTAATCCTTAAATTTAAAGATGTAAAGATATTTGTGTATTGTTGTACATCTAGTGTGTATTGAGCAATGTGTAAGCATTTGGACCTGCATATAGTAGGCGCGAATCTAGCACGCTCTGCATTTAACTTTAGACCAGCCTTTAGCTGGTCAATGGCGCGGTCTATTTCAGTTTTCAGCTTTCAGCATTTTTTTTATTTCACAAAATAAATTCTATTTATTTTTGTAACATTTTGCATTAAGGGATTTTAGTGCACTGATGATTCCGTTGATTTGACTGAATCAACAAA